GCTCAAGTGGTAGAGTGCTAGCCTTGAGCTGAAGAGCTGAAGGACAACGCCCAGGCCCAGAGTTCAGGCCTCACGACCAGACCAAAAAAAAAAAAAAAAAAAAGCCAGATGCTGGTAACTCACTTCTATCATCCTAGCAACACAGGAAGCTGAGATCTGAGGATCATAGTTCAAAGACAGCCCAGGCAGGAAAGTCCATGAGACTCTTATCTCCAATTAACCACCAGAAAACCAGAAGAGGAGCTATGGCTTAAAGTGGCAGAGCGCTAGCCTTGAGCAAAAGAGCTCAGGGACAGTGCCCATGCCCTAAGTTCAAGTCCTACAATCAATCAAACAGACAAACAACGAAGTAGGGTCTAGGAGGAGGGGCAGGGAGTTAGGATTTCTTTTTTGAAAAGATAATAGACATATAGTGGTCATGAGTTACATAAAAGGTAATATTTACAAGAGAGGTATAATAGTTATAAACCCCAAAGCACCAAGCAATACAGCAACCAAATATGGAAAGCAAAACCATTAGAAATCCAAGGAAATGAAGGAATTGGACTGACCCAGCAGATGGAGCAAGAACATTGAGATTTTTTTTTAATCCATGGCTAATAACTGAACAAACCTATTCATTAATGAACATGTAAATGCTGAGTATATGTATTCAGGATTTTTTTTTAAAGTTCATTCCTGCTAGGAATTTGGTTTAGTGGTAGACTGATTGCCTAGCAGGTATGAAGCCCTGGGTTTAATTCCTCAGTACCACATAAACAGATAAAGCTGGAAGTGGTGCTGTGGTAGAGTGCTAGCCTTGAGCAAAAAGAAGCTCAGGGACAATGTCCAGGTCCCTGAGTTCAAACCCCAGGACTGGCACCCCCCCAAAAAAAGTTCATTCCTGAATGAATTAATATGTCAATTAGTGAATCAGGCAAAACCAAAAGAATGAATGAATACCTGGGAAATACAAATAAACACAGAACTAGTCAGGTAGATTGGGTAGAGATGAAATTCTACAGAGATGGAGGAAGCAGTCTTGCGAGAGGGAAGAAGGGGAGAAGAGTCTGTGTGGGCAGGGCTCAGCTCGCTGCCCTCTGCCCCCCCATCCCCTCCACGCCCCAGCTCACCCGGCTGAAGAACTGCAGCAGGGTGTTGGAGAGCAGCAGGTGCTTCTCCGCCAGGAAGCGGTACCTGCGCTTCTCCTCCAGCTCGGCTGACCGTTGGCTCTCCGACACGAACGCCTGCATCTGCGCGTGCAGCCGGTTCACGCTCTCCTGTGGGGCAAGGTTGGGGTTGGGTGTGGGGGGGGCTGGGGTGGAAGGGGGGGCTGGCCAACCTCAGACCTGCCCTCCTCGCCTCCTGTGGCCACCCCAGTCCCCTGTACCTTCATCTCCCGCGCATTCTTGTCCCGATTGCGTTCCAGGCGCCACAGCTCAGACATGCACTTCTCCAGGTTGGCCGCTCGGTGGCGGTACTCGATCTCGTAGTGCTGGCGGCTATCCTGGGGTAAAGTGGAGGGACACGGAGGCCGGCACATCAGAGGGCTCTGGACATGGTTCCAGGGTTCAAAGCACAGGGTCGGGGACCAGGGAAAACCTGGGAATGTGGATAACCCAGGGCTGGTCTCAGTGTACCCGTCTGTCCAGCCCGACTCACCTTGATGTACTGCATGTCCAGCTTGGTGTTCTTCTCCATGTGCTGCAGCAGGTCTCCATGGAATGTCTGCACCTGTGTGGAGCGCAGATTGGGGTTGCTCAGGGTGGTGCCCTGTCCCCAGACCCCAGCGTCCTTGGCAGTTTCTGTTACAATGAAGTGTTTGGCCAGCCTCAGACAGAGATCCCCCCTGTCTCTGCTTCCTGTGTAGCTGGGATTAATCTCTAATCCCTAAATTGAGCTGCCTTGGCCCAGGGTACCAGCCTTGGCCTCCTTCCTGTTCTGTCTCCATCCTTTGAACCCCCAAATCTGGCCAATCTCTCTGCCCAGACCGTCTCCTACATGGCTGACTGCCCCAGCCTCTGGTTTGGTCCTAAGAAACACCCAGGTAGTGATGACCCTATTGGTCCTGAGAAAACATTGGCTGGCGTTATCTTTCTGGAAGTCTCTTTCACAGCAGAACCCAATAATCAGGACATCTTGCTGGCTGTTTTCTCACCTGAACCTCTTCCAGATTCCTCCCCCTGCTGCCACGCCTCCCTCTTCTAGGGTCACACAACCACCTCACTCACTGCGGGAGCACAGTAACCCTACTGAATAGAAGCCCAGTGACAAACATCTAGGAAATGAAATCATCCATGCCATTTATGACTTCAGAAATCAGATTGGCAGGAACGGATCTAGCCACAGGTAGATGAGAACCTTAGGCTGAGAAGAACCAAGCAGTGCAGAGGAAAAGAAAGGAATAAATAAATGGATATGGCATTCAACACCTGAAATGGAATATTAAAATAATCGCCAGCCTCTAGATCAATGACATCTCTATCAAAAAATCCTAGTGCTTGACAGTCTGACTATGCAACTGATACACACATGTAAACGATCTTCAGCAGGCAGTACAATTTTGAAGAACAAAGTTCTGTGCATCAAATACCTGATACCAGAAAATGAATCAGCTGGAGATGTGGCTCTGTGGGAAAGCACTCACCTAGCAAGTGCAAGGCCCTGAGTTCTAGCCCCAGTACTGCCAAAAAAAAAAAAAAAAGGAAAAGAAAAGAAACTGAATAAGCCAGGTACAATCTGGAAGATGGCAGTTCAAAGCCAGAGTGGGCAGAGAGAAGTCTAGGAGATTCCATGTCTAAAATAACCAGCAAAAGGTTAGGCTGTAGGCTCAGCTGAAGTGTAGAACACCAGCTGAGTAAGTGTCTGTGAGGCCCTGATTTTAAACCCTGGTGCTACAATCATCATCATCATCATCTCACAAGCTGAAGTCAGGTTTTGTTTTTTGTTTTTTTTTTGGTTGGTCGTGGGGATTGAACTCTGGGCTTGGGCACTGTCCCTCAGCTCTTCAGCTCAAGGCGAGCGCTCTACCACTTGAGCCACAGCGCCACTTCCAGTTTTCTAGTGGTTAATTGGAGATAAGAGTCTCACAGACTTTCCTGCCCGGCTGGCTTTGAACTGCAATCCTCAGATCTCAGCCTCTTGAGTAGCTAGGATGATAGGCGTGAGCCACCAGTGCCCGGCTGCTGAAGTCAGATTTTATCCCTTCTTTGTTTAAAATCTATGAATGGTTCTGTGTTCACCTGCCAGGTGAACAGCAGAACTGATCGCTGCCCAGGGCCCTGTTCTGTTTGTCACGCCCTCCACTCTCCCTCACTGACGCCCTGCAAGCCCATCTTTCCCTGCTGCTCCTCTGCCCACCCCCTGCTGGGCCCCTGGCTCTCCTCACCCATGCCCCGTTAGCCCTTTCTTTTTTTCTTTTTCTTTTGGTTCAATCATGGAGCTTGAACTCTGGTCCTGGGCACTATCTCTCAGCTCTTCAGCTCAAGACTAGCGCTCCACCGCTAGAGCCACAGCGCTACTTCAGGTTTTCTGTAGTTAATTGGAGATAAAGAGTCTCATGGACTTTTCCTGCCCGGGAAGGCTTTGAACAATGATCCTCAGATCTCAGCCTCCTGCGTAGCTAGGATGACAGGTGTGAGCCACCAGCGCCCAGCTCCCTTTAGCCCTTTCTCTGTCCCCTTTCTGGTAGCATTTCCCTCCAGCAACTGTTAAAAATCACTTACCCTGATGTTCCCCACCCCTACCCCTGCTCCATAGCTATCTTGAGTCTTCTATGGGAGAGGTCACTGACCCACTGGTCTGGATCCAGGACCCTGGGGGAGGGATCAAGAGCCCCTGCAGGCAAATCAGGGACACTTGGGGGGGGGGAGAGACCCGGCCGGGGCCTGGGCGGGAAGGAGCCTGGGTGGGGGGACCTCCAGTTTCTGGCACTGTTCTGGTACAGTTCTGGGGGCCCCCCACTGGTTGTCACAGCCAAGACATGGTATCTGGAGAGGGTGGCTCTCCTTACATCTGTCCCTGCCTAGCCCAGGTGTGCCACAAATAACACCACGACAGGAAGGCACAGCTCCCTCTGCAATGCCCAAGGACACTGGGGACACAACAGCACCCCAAAGTGGTCACAGAGGCCCCGGCCCAAGGGACCAGGGCACAGCGCTGCACGCGTGTGTGGGATGGATATTTTCTCTCCGTGAAACAGATGCCCACACCAAACAGTGTTTATGGTGTCCCCCAAGAGCATTCTGTCTTTAGGGTCCTCCCCCTGGTATAATTCTGAGCCTAGGAACGATCACATGGAAGTTCCTCCTAGGCCTTCCAGGCTGTCACCACCAGACCCTATTCCCACCTCTCCTGCCTGGCAGCAGGCTCTGGCTCCCTTCTGCCCCCCACTCTGTGCCCTGGAAGCCCCCCCCCCTTCTCTCCTCTCCTGTCTCCATCTTGCAGCTCAGAGCCACGCCCCTCCAGGCTCTGCAGCTACAGAGTAAACATGTCCCACCTTGCTGGGCATGGGTGGCTCACACCTGTCATCTTAGCTACTCAGGAGGCTGAGATCTGAGGATCATGGTTCAAAGCCAGCCCAGGGCAGGAAAAGTCTGTGAGACTCTTTATCTCCAATAAACCACTCAGAAAACTGGAAGTGGCGCTGTGGCTCAAAGTGGTAGAGTGCTCACCTTGAGCTGAAGAGCTGAGGGACAGTGCCCAGGCCCAGAGTTCAAGCCCCACTACTGACTAAAAAAGAAAAAACAAAAGTCCCACCTTGCAGATTGGTAAGGTGAAGTCTACCTTGTTTGTTACAGCCAAGATGTAGGGAGAGGGGGAGATACAGGGGAGGACTGATAGGTAAACTGAGGCATAGAGTCCAAAGGCACAAAGCAGGTAACTAGTGGAGCTGGGCTTGTGTATGGCGGGGGCTTGAACTCAGGGCTTTACAGTCTTGCTTAGCTTTTTTATTCAAGGCTGGTGCTCTACCACTAGAGCTGCAGCTCTGCTTCTGGCTTTTTGGTGGTTAATTGGAGATAAGAGCCTCACAACTTTCTTGCCCAGGCTGGCTTTGAACTGTGATCCTCACATCTCAGGCTCCTGAGTAGCTAGGATTACAGGTGGAAGCCATTGGTGCCTGGCTGGATCTGGGCTTTGAACTCAGGAACTCTCTTCTTTCTTTCTTTTCTTTTCCTTCCTTCCTTCCCTCCTTTCCTCCTTCCTTCCCTCCTTCTTTCTTTCTTTATTATTGTCGGTCCTGGGGCTTGAACTCTGGGTCTGAGTGCTGTCCTTGTACTCTTCAGCTCAAGGCTAGCACTCTACCACTTGAGCCACAGCGCCACTTCCAGTTTTCTGGTAGTTTATTGGAGATCAGAGTCTCACAGACTTTCCTGCCGGGGCTGGCTTTAAACTGAGATCCTCAGATCCCAGCCTCCTGAGTAGCTAGGATTACAGGTGTGAGCTGCGGGTGCCTGGCTGATCCTTGTTCTTCCCAGTCCCTCCCCCCCACCCCTGCCCCAAACCTTGCCCTGGATCCTAAGTGATGAACTAGATCTGAAAGACTCAGCTCCTCCTCTGTAAAATGGAAGGCCCTGAGTGTGCTGAAGGCCCCACTGAGCTACTACAGACCGTGTACCTGGGCAGACCCTGGGGAGGAGGGGCGGGGGAGGGCCGGGAAGGCTCCCTTGTTCTCCTGGAAATGGGCCCCAGATGCTTGAGTGGCCACCAGGCCTGGGGACGGACACTCACCACCACCTCCAGGTCTGAGTTCAAGTGCCGTTGTGTGTCGGACATTTGCACTAGGATCTCACCTGGAGGAAGAAGCTTCAGTGTGAGGAGCCGAGAAGCCGTGCCCGCCCTCCGCCTGCCCGCCCGCCAGCCTGAGGAACAAAGTCCGGGGACTTCCCACCTGCTCCACTGGAGCCTGGGTACTGGGCACAGCCCCTTCCGTGCTCAGGGAGTGGGGGAGGGGCTGTGGGTGTTGGGCTGCAGGCTTGAGTTGGGGGTGCCAGGCTTCTGAGAGGGACAGTGTGTATAAGGACCCCCCTCTGGGCTTTAGAATGTGAACAAATGTGGGGCTCCAGCCTTGAGCAGGTGAGAGCTTTAGGAGGATTGCTCCCCACCCCCAGCCCAAGACAGGGAGCCTGAAGTAGAGGGGTGCCTCACCCAGAATCTGAGAGGTAGAGCTTTGCAGGGCCTGCTCCCCAATTTTCTGGATGGCGCTGAAGTACACCTCGGCTGCCTCAGACAGAGCTGCAGGGAGAGAGTGGCCTCAGCCTCGAATGCTGAACCTCCCAGCCTCCCTGTCAAGACTCCTCCTTTGGTATGAGAGGATGTGGAGGGAGCGTGATGGGGATCTGTGTGTGTGTGTGTGTGTGTGTGTGCACCTTGGGCACTGTGTGCAGCTGTGGCATTGGTCAGGGGACAAGCAGGGACACAGGTTCCCTGGGGCCTGGCACAGAACAGGTCCCCCATTTGTATTTTGGGGGTGGGGGGACATGGGAGGAGCAGAGCACCGAGTGAGAGGCGAGAGCTGAAGACAGCTGGCGTGGGGTGTGGAGTTATCGGCTGGGACGCTGAGGGGAGCACTCACCGTGGAAGGCCCGCAGGTAGTTATTACCCAGGTACACCAGGTTCTCCAGGGCAGGGTTGAACTGTTCCATGATGCTCTGCGCCCAGGGGAGAGGAGGCCGGCCATGGCGGGAGCAGAAGGGAGGGAGGGGTGGTGGTACCCAGCCCCAGTGAGAAGTGGGGGCCCACCCCTCGGGAGCCCAGAATCCTCTCAGCTGCAGAGGCCTCCAGGACCATCTTTTGGGGACCCCTTCCCAGCCAGCTCGTGTTCACACCCCTGCCCCAGCCCTGGGTCCAGCTTTGCCCTGGCTGAACTCACAGGGCTTCTGCACCCAGCAGTGCAGGCAGACCTCACCCATCTCAAAGAAGACACCCCCTCCACACACCCCCCCAGGATCCAGGCTCCGGCTGGGTCACCCTGGCCACCCAGGGTCAGGGCCAGTTGGAAAGTATTAATGGGCGCTGCAGACAGAACCTCAGACTTAAGACTTGGCACTGAGCCTTGATTCAAATCCCAGTAGCACCTCTTCCTCCCTGGGTGACCTTGAACATGGGGTTCAAGCTCTCAGTTTTCTCATCTGCCCCACAGCACGGTTCATTTTCTACCTCACAAGTAGGGTGGCGTGAGGCTTGTGTGTGAGGGGGTCCTGCATACAAGGAGGCGCTTAATAAATGTGTCTACAGAGACTGTAACAGCTCCACTAGAGGTGAGGTGGGAAATGAGAGGCCCCCGTCCCAGCTCCTTTCCAAGGGGACCTGGTGGACTTTATGCTCTGCTCTGTGGGTCTTTAAGCCACAACTGCCCTGGTTCCCCTGGCTGGGTCTGCCTGGGGGTGGGGGCAAGGATGGCCACTGCCCCCAGGAATGCCCGCCCAAGGCCCAAAGCTCAGTCCATCCCGGCCCCCTTCCAGCAGCCCCGGCTCGCGGGCCGTCTGTTCTCCTGGCTGGGCCCCGCATGCTCACCTTGTAGATGGCCATGGTGGATCTGTAGAACTGGTCCATCTCGGGGGCCATGGGCAGCTGAGCTGGCACTGAGGAGGCGGAGGCCGGGCTGGGAGCCCCAGGGAGCAAGGTGGCTGCAAGTGTGCGCTGCCGCCCTGGGCCTGGCCTGGAAGGAGGCAGCTGCTTAATTATTCACCAGGCGGGATGTCAATGTGATCTGGGGCGTAACCAGACCCAGCCGGGGGGAGGCCTGTGACGCAGGCGGCTCGGGTGACCGGCTTTCAATTATTTACCCCTGTCTTGCAGAGGCTGGTGGTGGGCACTGGTGGCTGTGCCGCTCTCTCTGGGGGACCCTGTTTTGCTGTCTGCCTCTCCAGGGCCCTGGCAGTCCCTGTCCCCAGGCTCTGGGCCTCCTCGCAGCAGGAGCATCTGCACAGGTGACCTCACGTGGGGACACCTGGCTGTGTCCAGGCCCATGCTGGGGATGGAGCCCAGGGCCTCACGGATGCTAGGCAAGGGCTCACCGCCGAGCTCCACCCCTAGCCCAGTGGAAAGCGGCCCGCGGGGCAGGGGCAGAGTGTGGCCGTGCTCATCTGCTCCCGCGAGCATGGAGCCCCGCTTCCCTCTGGACTTGCTTGGGGCAGGTGGGCCTGCCAGCCACCTCTGGCCATCTTCCAGCTGCCCCAGGGAGACTGGGCGCAGGGATGGGATACCAGAACACCCTGAGGGTGGGGGACGGAGAGCTGGAGCCGAGGGGGCACCCGCCCCATAAAGTACACCGCACAGGGCCACCTGAGTCAGAATAATTTATTTCACATTTCGGGGTGGCCCCTCCTGTTCTCACAGCACGTGGGCAGGGAAGTGAGCTGGCAGGAGTGACCTTTGGGAGCTGGGCAGCTCTAGGGGTGGGGTGCTGGGGTGTGCAGAGGGCAAAGTTGAATGGGACACCCCACTCCTGGAGCCTGGGTTTCTGTAAGTGGTGGGGCAGTGACTCCCCATTTCTCTGGCCCCTACCACCAGGGAAGGGGGTAGATTGGGTGGGCTGGCCTCCAGGCCAGGCGGGGTGGGGTTCCCCTGGTTTTTAGTCCCTCAGGCAAGTCAGGAAAGGGGCTGAGGGGGGCCTGAAGTGACAAGGCGGGGGGGGGGCTGGCCCCCGGATGCAGCCGCCGGCCCCTGGTGATCATGGAGCTGCGGGCCGGCTCTGCGGCCCCGGGCCCGCGGTGGGTCGGGGGCTCAAGGAGCGAGCAGCAGCTGGACCAGCTTCTGGAACTGCTCCCGCTGCTCGTAGATGTACACCTCCGTCTCCCACAGAGCGTTCACCAGCACAGCGTCGCTGACCTCATCCAGCATGATGTCCATCCCCAGCTGGGGGTTCAATCTGTGCGAACCAAGGAGCCGGGCTCACCAGGGGGCCCGGCCTGGGGGCCAACGGATCCCACCAGGCCTGAGCCTCACCTGAAGTACTGGATGTCAACCATCTCGCACCAGGCCCGGGCCCGGTCCACGGCCCGGCCATCTGGATCTGTGCACTGGTGAGAAGCAGCCTCTGTGAGCCCCGCCCAGCACTGGCCTGTCCCCACCGGGCTCCACCCACCATCAGGGTGACTCTGGGCCTCGGTGATGCCCAGCTGAGCAGTCAGAGGGGCAGGGCCTGCGCGGCACACACAGCTCACTGGGGTATGGGGGGGGCAGTGACACCTCCCCCTGTGGCTTTAGTCCACGTACACCTGGCTCTCTCAAGAGATGAACGGGTAAAGATGGTTTGAAGAACCCCACCAAGGGCATTGCTGAGGGACAGGCCCAGCCCGGAGACATTAGGAGGCTGGACAGAGCCCCACTGTCACCCATGAGGATGGGGGGGTGATAGCCTGGGGGAGGCCCCAACTCACACAGTCCACCACCATCTTGCCCAATTCCTTGGCCCCGAAAACGGTCTTGGCCAGTTCCCAGGGGTTGCTGGGCCGGAAGACATCCACACAGGTCACCGGCACCTGCGGGGACCTCCCTGTCCCCAAGGAGACAACGATGGACAGTTTCTTCACCTTGCTCCCCTGGCCCTGTGGTGAGCAGGACAGGGTCAAAGGGGACCTCCCATGGGGGACACAGGGGAGGCAGAAGGGACCTCCCACAGGAGCACAGGGGGGTCAGAGAGGACCTCCCCCAGAGGGCAGTGGGGGGCAGTGGGAGGTCAAGGCGGGCACTAGGAAGGGCACGTGGCCCTGGGGGAGGGGGTCTGGCAGTGTGTCTGAGTGCAGACTCTTGCAGACAAGCTGGTGTGGGTATCATGGCTATCTCTGGGCCCAGCACCTGTGTACCACAGGCCTCACAGGGCCACCCTCAGGGAGAAGGGCAGCCATGGCAGGCAGGGAAGAGCAGATTCGGGATCTGTATCAGTGTTTTACAGGCTGCCTTGCTCTACCATGATGGCTCTGAGAGGCTGCCAGCCCTTCCCGGGTCCTCTGAGCCCTGCACACAGACAGCCACCGGCATCCAGGCTTTGTAGAGGGCCTGGCCCCAGCTACAGTCTGTCCAGGAGACATGCGCCCTGGCCGTCCGCTGGCAGCGGGCATGCACTGGGCCTCGGAATGCCTGGTTCCCAGGGCTGCGGGCACCCGTGGGCGGCAGAAGGGCCACCGGGCTTCCCGGTGCAGAGGATGTCTGCCCTGTGCAGACATGCCCAGCCCGGGGCTGCACGGTTCTCACCTTGCGGATCATGTCCTGGTTGAACTCATGGATCTCGGTCATAGCGTCCAGTGTGGGGTTGTTGGCCAGCAGCCCGCCGTCCAGGAAGCGCCCGTTGGGCCGGAAGTAGGTAGGGGCTGCCCCACTGCTCCGCGCCGCCCGCCATACCAGCTGGTCTAGGGGAAGGGGGAGGGGACCAGGTTGGCACAAGAGCTGGTATAAGGCCTGTGCCCTTCAGATCTCAGGGTGCAAGTGTGGGGTGTAGGGACAGGTGCCCTACATCCCAGTGAAGGTGGGGTGTCAGTGGGGCCCAGGAGCCCCCAGCAATGCTTGTCCTCAGCCAATCAGGACGGGGGGGGTTGAGACTACCCGATGCCCCTCCGCGACTCGCATCCATCACCCGCATCCACGTAAGCATTAAACATGGTTTGAACCTGAGGGGTGGGTTGGCGGCTTTAGGTTAACATTCTGAGTGAAGCGAGGCTCCCGAACGGCCTCTGGTGCCTCATAGTTCCGGAAGAGGTGGAGCTCGGCAGGCTGCCTGTCCGACAGCGTCCCAGTCAGCATCACCCTGGGGAGAAGGAGCGAGGCGCTGACTGGCCACCTGGTCCACGCTCCCCACCACCTGGCAGAGCTGCCACCCACACGGTGCCGGGATTCTCCAGACTGTCCTTCCCGGTGTCTGTAGCACTGGTAGTCAGCCCATGGAGGTGATTTGGCCAAAAGCGCCACATTTCCCACAGGTTTATGCTTACACCCAAAAACCCACTTCGGGGAATTTGTCCTGAGCAATCACATGTATGCAAGACAGGCTGCCATTTCCTAAGTAAACAGCGCCAGGGGTGTTCACACACACCTGTAATCCCAGCACTCTGAAGGGAGAGCAGGAAGACTGAGGCAAGCCTGAGCTGTTCCACGGTGAGATCCTGTCTCAAAAACACCCAAAACCAAACCAGAGCAAACCACTAAAAAATAGCTGGGGTGTCCATCAGCAGGCCAGTGCAATACCCCGAGGCCATCTGCCCGATGGGCTCGGAGCCCTCATAGAATGGCTGTGGATATGTTTACATACTGACAGGGAGTGGACTCTGGGACAGTTAGTAGGCCACCATTTACTCAAAACCGAAACAACATATGTTCCTGTTTACACAGCCAGAGGGCAACTCTGAAGGGACGTTGGCACCAGGCAGCATGGACGGCTTTGGGGAAGGGCACGCGGGGGGACTTTTGAGACCTTTTCAACAGCCTACTGAGAAGCCTCCTCCTGATCCTGAGACACAGGCACCTAAACATTGAGGAGTGCCCTGGAGAGAAGCTAGTATGTGTTATGTCCCAGCTCCTTAAAACCTGAAAATTCCACCCTGGATAAAGTCTGTCCTAAAGGAACAATCCGGACCACAATGGCGGCTTCGGGTGCAAGGCTATTCTTTGCCCTGTGATTTATTAGAGTGAAAATCTAGCTGGAACAGAAGGGTAAGGAAACAATAAAACACTTTACAGCCATTCAAAATTATGCTTACAGAGTAAACCAGAAATGAACTTGTTATATTGTAAAGAAAAATACAGAGGAAGGGAAACAACCCTGAACAAAGGATTTTCTCCACTTATGTGAATACTGTGGGAAGATTATTTCAACAGTGCTCCCGTTGAGAAAAACTGCAATGCTACATGTATTTTTAATCTTAAAAGCATGAGATCTGACAAGATAGAAAAGAGCAGGAAAAACTGAGAATAAGCAAGAACTCAGCCCCATCTCTAACCAGAGGCAAAGTACAAACCACAGAAACCTTGAACTTCAGGGGGTCTCTAGGGCAAGGGGGACCAGGTCAAAGTCCAGGACCCTTCAGAGGAGAGGGTCTGGCGGGAGCCCTTTCCCATGCTGTGTTGGGGATCCTCAGTGTGTAGCTTCTAGCATCAGGATAAAGATGGACTGGAAAGAAATCACCCTTCCAGACCCTGGGACTATAAGGAAAGCTGTCCTGGCCCTGGGAAGACACAAACCTCAGAAAACATTGACTATACTAGCCCTCATGCACAGGGAGTCAAGACTCACATCATCTGGGGGTAAGGCTCTGAACCTCCAGGACAGCGGTTTAGTGGAAGCGGCCTAGCCGTTAGTGTCCAGTGTCTGGAACAGGTCACTCTCTTGATCAAGGAAGCCCATTCTGGCCTTCACAGAATCTGCATGTATTATTCTCAACACTAAGGAGCAGCACTTAGTTAAAAATAACAAAAAGTGTACACACAATGAAATAAACTACCATGAGTGAGAATGAGCTCAAACCACAGAAACAGCACAATATATCTACAGAGCCTTCAGATAGCGGAGGTTGTAAATTAAGATGACTACACGGCGATACTCATAATGTTTAAAGCTATCAAGCTAAGCTTGATAAAATTTTAAGGGGATAAGAGGTTGTAAATGCTGACACATGCATGAAATAGGACGATCACAGTCCAATACTACTAGCCTAGGCAAAAGTCTAAGATGCTATCTGAAAACCAAACTAAAATAAAAAAAGGACTGGGGGCATGGCTCAAGTGGTAGAGTGCTTTCCTGGCAAGGATGAGGCCCCGAGGTCAAACCTCAGAACCACCAAAATGGGGGGTGAGGGACTACCAATAATGACCTGAGCCAGGCACCAGGGCTCACACCTATAATGCTAGCTATTCAGGAGGCTGGAATCTGAGGATCATGGTTTGAAGCCAACCCAGGCAAAAAGTCCATGAGACTCTTATCTCAAATTAACTATCAGAAAACCAGAAGTGGAGCAATGGCTCAAAGTGGAAGAGTGCTAGCCTTGAATATAAAAGCTCAGGGACAGTACCCAGGCTCTGAGTTCAAGTCCCACAACCAACAACAGCAACAAAAAAGACCTGAAAGATTTGAAGAAGAACCCGAGTACTTTTTTTTTGGAGGGGGGGCGGTTGTGGGGCTTGAACTCTGGGCCTGGGTGCTGTCCCTTAGCTCTTCAGTTCAAGTCAAGCACTCTACCACTTGAGCCACAGCATCACTTCTGGTTTTCTGGTGGTTAATTGGAGATAGGAGTCTCACCAACATTCCTACCGGGGCTGGCTTTGAACCTCGATCCTCAGATCTCAGCCTCCTGAGTAGCTAGGATTACAGGAATGAGCCACTGGTACCTGAGTACTTTTTTTTTTTTTTTTGCTGGTCATGGGGCCTGAACTCTGGGCCTGGGCACTGTCCCTCAGCCCTTCAGCTCAAGGCGAGTGCTCTACCACTGGAGCCACAGCACCACTTCTGGCTTTTTTTCTTTTTGCTTATGTGGTGCTGAGGAATCGAACCTAGGGCCTCATGCATGTGAGGCAAGCACTCTACCACTGAGCCACCTTCCCAGCCCACCTGAGTACTTTTGAGACTGAAAAATATCAATACATACAATAATAAAGAACTCAATGGATGTGTTAAATGAAAAATTAGATAACGCTAAAGAGAGAATTCATGAGTTGGAAAATAGGTAAAAAGAAATTATCCAGAAAAAGAATAAAAAATGATAGAGAAATACAATGACAGAAAAGGTAAGTTAAAAGACATTGAGAGGGGCTGGGAAGGTGGCTCAGTGGTAGAGCGCTTGCCTTGCATGCATGAGGCCCTGGGTTCGATTCCTCAGCACCACATAAGCAAAAAGAAAAAA